TATGGCAGGTCACTACAGTGCGTCAAATCATGACAGGTATTCCAACACATATTCTTGGGGGGACACAATTCAATCCATAACATTCGACCCTCTCCCAAAATTCATGTCATTCCAACATTCAAGTTTGATGCCTAGAAGGAGGAGTCTGGCTAGGGTTGTAGTAATGATGCTGGTGGGAAGAAATGGTGGCCTGGTCCCATGGAAACTATGGAAACTGAGAGAAGAGGGAGGCTAGGGGAGTTGGGAGTCTTGTGGATGGGCTAGATTTGGTCTGTATCATCCAACAATGGTGTCCTGATATGGCACTGTAGGATAAAGCACTGGATCACAAGGTCAATTTGAACCACAAGGTTGGTGGTTCAAACTCACCAGCCACTCCTCGGAAATCCTATACAGGACCGCAATGAGTTAGAACCAACTCAACAGCACATAACAACAACCCAACAATGTGACCAATCTCCAGAATGCCACTGTTCCCACTCTGGCCACTGAGGATGGGGGGTCCCACAGGGTTATTTCAGGCCTGGACTGCCTGACCTCACTACCTGTGTGATCTCACATACACCAACACACTGTGCACCCTCATGGAAACTCAGTAAACATTAGAACTCTTTCTTCTGGAACAGTTTCTCCTCACCTCTTCTGTTAGGCTCAGGAAGTTAGGTCAGACTGCTGGGTTCCAGTCCTGCAAAGGTCTGAGGGGAATGTGACCCTAGTCATGTTAACCTGTCTGAACCTCAGTTTCTTTAATCTGTAAAATGCACCTGCAGATTTCAGTGGAGTCCTTGGGTAGGGCAAATGGTTAACATGTTAGATTGCTAACCAAAAGTTTAGAAGTTCAAGTCCACCAAGAGGTAACTCAGAAGAAAGAACTGATGATCAACTACGAAAAACTCAACCATCGTAAGCCCTATGGAGCACAGTTCTGCTCTAACACACATAGGGTCACCAGAAGGTAGAGCTGACTTGACAGCAACTGGTTAAGATTGCAGCAGAGATTAAATGAGACCGTCTGGCTAGAGCAGGCCCAGGAGTCCCCGAACATGATAAGACTCTGGAAGTGATAGTGATCCTATTGCTCCTCCAACCTCTCCTCGGGCTGTACCCTCACTGGGGCCCTAGCATTCTACTCTTGGACCTAGGCCTTTACCATAGTAATCTCAATCTGAGCTTTCTTGATGGGAGCTTGGATGTGAGTGTGAAAACAGGCAGCAGAGGCTGGGAGGAGACCCAGACAAAGTCACAGAGCTTTCTCTTTCAAATGAAGTCTTACTGATTTTGCTGAGGTGGTAAGACATACACATGTATCCAATGATAAAGAAGAGTGGGTGGGGAAATGTCAGTCTCCACACCTCTCCTATCTGCTGGCCTCTCTGCTCCTCATCTCAGGGGCAACCCCAATGACCATTGCCTTGTGTCCACATCTGGAAATGTTCTCTGTTTATAAAACAAAAGTCTACAGATACTCTGTTTTTGTTTGTTTTTTTGTTTTGTTTTTTTGGTAGCACAAATGATTGCATATTATACATACTATTTCACATCTTTTTTTTTTTTTTTTTAGCTTAGCAATATACCTTGGAGATATTCCACATCAGTACATATAGAACTTCTCCCATCTTTTTCAGAATTGCATAATATTTGTTATGGATTGAATTGTGCCCCCTTACCTCTGTACATCTCCCCCATGTTCATAACGACAGCATGCTGATGAGTCAGTTCCAAGCAGACCTCCCCTGAACAGACCATGCCTCTGACTCCCTCTTCTAGTTGCCTATTTGACATCTCCCTTGATTAATGAAAACAGATCAAACAAATGTCCAAAACCACACTCATGGTCTTCTGCCCACAAACTGGCTTCCTGAGTGGCTGATCTCAGGGAACAGCATCATCTTCAATCCATATTTTTCTTTCATGACTTTTGGATCAGGAGCTGTAGATTAAAAAAAGCCTTCCCCTCTCTACGGTTATTAAAGAATTTTCCTCTTGGACGTTGATGGGGTTTTGATCATTTTTAACCTGCCTGCAAGGGCTCCCAATTAAGAGAAAAGATAAAGTCCTACAAATGACCAACCAGGTCCTGCCCCATCTGCCCACCCCACCACTGCCTCTGGAAGGCCCCTCCTCTGTCTCCCCCCAACACATACACACACATACTTAGCATCACAGCAACACACAATCTTCTGATGGCAAACATGTGATAGCTACATAAGATGCATTGACCGGGAATCAAAGTTGGGTCTCCCACATGGGAGGTGAGAATTGTACCATGGACCCACCATTACAAATAGCTGTGGAATGAAGGACGAGGGAGGCCAGTTGGGAAGTTACTGCAATAGACAGGGGATGAGAGTAACATGGGTTAGAATTATGCTATTGGAGGGAGAGAGATATGTGGATGGATTCCAGAGGAACAAACAACAGATATGCCAGTAGATTCCAGTGAGAATTTTGAGGGTGACTCTTTACTTTCGGGATTACATACCTGGATTGAAGATGATGCTATTCTCTGAGATCAGGCACTCTGGAAGCCAGTTTGGGAGCAGAAGACCAGGAGTGTGATTTTTAACATTTGTCTGATCTGTTTTCATTACTCAAAGGGAACTGTCAAATAGACAACTAGAAGAGGGAGTTTGGGAGTCAGAGGCACGGTCTGTTCAGGGGAGGTCTGTTTGGGACTTGTTTGCATGCTGTCGTTATGAACATGGGGGAGATCCTCAGGAAAGATGAGAGAGAAGAGACTCAATGAACAGATGAGAGAACTGAAGAGAAGAATGTCTAACCTCCAGCCTGGAGTGGCTCTCACAGGGAAGGCTGGTAGGGGAGACTAGGTCGCTAAGGCAGAGCAGCCAGGGAAGTAGGAAGAATGTGACATTTTGGAAACCAGGGAAGAGAAATATGAAAAGGAGCATGAGGAGCAGTGTGGGTGCCCAGAGGCTGAGTAAAATGACCATGAGGAAGATGTGTTGGATTTAGGGACATGGAAGCAGGTCATTGGAGACGTTGGTGAGGGTTGTTTTAGGGCACAATAAGGATGGAATTCAAGTCAGAGACAGTCAGGAAAAGATGGGGGATTACAGGCAGTGAAAGCAGTCACCTCTGTTTTTGTTTGTTTATTTTTTATTGATCCGAATATACAAACGATAGAATTTGCCACTGTAACCATTTTTAAGTATAGAGTTCAGTGGTATTGACTGCAGTCGCAGTGTTGTGCAACCTGACTTCCCTTCTTAGCTCTTCAACGCCCACCGATCTCAGCATGTTCTGAACATTTGCCTGACTTTCCATCTCAGCAACATCCTTCCCTTCCCCTTCCTTATCCAGACTCTCTCATCCTCTGGACTCAGCTCTCCTCCCTTCCTGAGTCTGCCCAGCCCAGGCTCATTATAGGAGTTCCTTGTGCATCTTTTCTTAAATTAGACCCTTGTGGTCCATCAGGTTTTCTTTAGCTTATTTTGGAAATTGATCATTTTAATCTGGAAGCTCTGATGAAACCTGTTCAGCATCAGAGCAACACAAAAGCTTCTGCTGGCAGATGAGTGGTGGCTGCTGATGAGTTGCACTGACTGGGAATTGAACCCAGGTCTACCTCATGGAAGGCGAGAATTCTACCACTTAGATAACTATCTAAGTATCTAACCACTTAGATAAGTGCCTAAATATCTAACCACTTGGAGTCCTGGTATGGCACTGTGGGTTAATGTACCAGACTGCAAAGCCATTTGAACTGCAAGGTTGGCAGTTCAAGCTCACCAGCTGCTCCTCGGAAACCCTACACAGTGTCGCTATGGGTCGGAATCGACTCAACGGCACTTCACAACAACAGCAACATCTAACCACTTAGATAAGTATCTAAGTATCTATCTGTTTAATGAGAATTCTGACTCTGAGTTTTACTCATCAACCTGGTGACACTGTGGTTTAAGTGTTTGACTGCTAACCGAAAGGTCAGCAGTTCAAACCCACCAGCCACTCCGTGGAAGAAAGATGTGGCAGTCTACTTCTTACTTCTGGAAGGATTTACAGCCTTGGAAATCCTCTGTTCTGTCCTATAGAGTCACTGTGAGTCAAATCAATGAGGTGGCAGTAAGTTGGGTCTTTGTACTCAGACTCATTTCTTACCAGTAATGGTGCCTGGCTCATGGTGGGCATGACCTATTTGTTCTCTGACTGCTGCCACCTTCTCCAGAGTTCAGGTTCAAGGTCTAATGGGGAGCAGAGACATTAGTAGTTGGCAACAGCATATTTTTAGTTGCAAAGTGCTTAGAAGTTTGAGAGTTAGGAGACCTCCACCAGTTAGAATTAGCTTCTCCCCATAAGCACCATGTGGCCTTCTCTCTGTGTCTCTGTGTTGTTCCCTGTATAATGGGATGGTGATCTCACCTCTCATGAAAGATCATTGAGAAGATCCCGATGCAACAATAGCTACAAAACATGCTCTGAAAACCGGGAGGTGAAGACCCCTGTGGGCTTCTTATTGTTGCTCTTCAACTTTCTGCATCAGCCCTATCCCAGTACCACCAGTGCTCCTAGACTCACCCCCATCAGCTTCCCCGTGCACACCCAGTTCAGCCCCACCCAACCTTGGACTGGGCGCACCTCACATGTCTGCTCAGCTTTACACATCCTTGTGCACCCACACAGATCCTTCCCACTGTCCAAAATGATTTCTCCCCTGAGTCTCAGCCCCTGGTGAACACCAATACTTTTCCTTCCAGCAGCAACTAACACTGATTCCTACACAACTTAAGAATCATCAGCTTCACTAAATGAATAAGTAAACGAACAAGGGTGGAGATTGTTATTGTCACTCTCAGAATTTCTTCCCTCCCTTTACTCTGCCAGGTAGCTTTGTGGTGGACACTTGTTTGCAAGACCATGACAAAAAACAGCCATGGGAGGAGGGAACAGGTGGCCCCCAACCATGCCAAGGGAAGGGCCAGCGTGGGTGAGGGACCCCCTCGCCCTGTGACCTGATGGTGCTCTTTGCTTGTGTTTTGCAGGTCCTCCAGTAAGTGTCTTGGACTATACGCGCTGCTCCAAAAGATAAGACATTCTGTTCTCTTCCTACCACTTCTATGAAAACATTTTTTGGTTTAGAGAGGTATATCCTAAAGAGCTCAGTCCTAAATAAGAGCCATATATTTTATTTAATCATGAATGAATGTAAGCACAGATTTCCACAGACTTGAGTCCTTGGAGTATTCTGTAACCATTCTCCTTCCAAGAGAAATGGCTGGTCCTCACCAGATGTTTGCTCAACAAGGTGCACAGGAATCCAAACACTATATATATATTTCAGCTGTTTACTGCTTCATTTGCAGATTTATATTCACTTCCAGGATTTCTTCTAGGAACAAAGCCGTGTCTTATCCTCTTGGTTGATAAACACTCTATAGACTAGATCACACTTATGAGGAGTCAATCTGACCCTGCCCTATTTTTATTCAATGCTCTGCCACAGTTGCTATTCGCAAATGTTTTTCCTCACATGCTTTGACAAAAGGGCTTGATCACTAGATTGTGGACACCATTTTCCTCGTTTGCCTAAGTATTTTCTTACTGCCTAAACTGGGCTGCTCAGCCCTCACACACACACAGCCAGCCAGCCAGCCAGGATGTCTGAGGGTTGCAGAGGGAATAAGCCTCCAGAGTCTGAGAAGGTTGTAAGAGGTGGGGCTGGCAGCCCACTAACCGCTCCTTGGCTGGCTGAGGCAGAGCTGAATACAGAATCAGCAACAGCCCTGGCGATCCCAGTCAGTCTCTAGGGCACGTCATCTATCTGGCTTTGATTCATCTCAACCATTTTTCAGAGCCTGATAAATCCTGATGAATCAATTCAAGAAGCACATTGACAGCCATCTGAAGCCAAAATTAACTTTCTAAAGGGATTCTTTTCAGATGAGCCATTTTCTTTTTTAACGTAATTCATCTCCTATTCGGCACCCTTCCGATCCGCGCTCTTCAATGCATGCAGCGCCTCAGTGTGCCAAAAAGCAAGGGAATACGCATTGGGGATTTATTGGCCACGAGCAGTTTTTCACTGCTGAGTTATTTCTGGCTATCACATGCAAGCTAGCTTGTGTGAACTCGCCCTCGTGCGTAATGCAGAGGGCTGGTGAGGGATTTATATGTATATATCTATATATTTGACTGTTAAAATAGTAAATGTATGAGACAAATGAAGAATTCTCAAGCTGCAACTGAACAGACCACTGGAGTGGTCACTGCCCAGCCAGTCCTGGGCCGTTCTGGGGGACAGAGAAGCACTGAGTAACCCTTCTTGCAGGTTCCTGAGACTCTGGTTTTCGGGTCACTCTGTCACTATGACAACAGGGAGGGACCAATTATCAGTTCTCTATACCCCTCAGCAACCTTGATTGAAAGAATATTTTCAGTTTCTGATTGGGTCATGGGGGCTGTGACTCTGCCCTCTGGAACCCCATGTTCCCACGGGTCTTTGCCATGTGCCCTGGATAATGTGGGCAGGCCCCCTGAGGAAACCCCATGGCTTGTAGACCACTAGCCTGGCCAGAGGAGGCAGGAAACGGGTGCTTTTGCCCCTAGACCTTTTGGAGCCCTGGTGTTTCCCCACCCCTACTCCAGGAGTAAGTTACCAACCAGCAGCCTCTGCTTTAAACCACACTGAGAGTCAGGGGTGGGTCTGGGGCCTTGACTGAGTTCTAAGTGTTGCCATATGGTTTTCTTCTGAAAGTCTGATTATTAATGACGTATTAATTACCACAGGGGCAATCAGGACGAGACGGCTACCCGGTAATTTGCCGTTTATTTTTTGCTCTCTTTGCCTTTGTCTCTTAAACCAATATTCTTCCCCTGAGTCTTTCTTATCCTCTGCCTAAGTTCCTGTCTTCCTCCTCCTCTGCTCCTGAGTAGAAATGGCACAGGGTACCCTGGTCTGCAGAATTCTGCAGCATAGGTACTGTCTGTGGCCCTGCTACCCTGGAGGCAAAGACACTGCTTCCCTGTCCAACCCAGCAGTCAGAGCGAGGGTCAGCCCTGGACCAAAGAGTGTCCTTCAGGTCAGCCATGGCCACCAACCTGGTCACAGTGAGCAGGAAGGCACTCAGTCCCAGACCTCAGAAAAAGGAGAATGGTGGGTCCCAGTGCAGCTTCCATGGTATCATTAGACCTTAAATCTTTTACAATTAAACCTAAAAGTTAGCTTACACTTGGAGTCAATGTCCTCAGCCCAGGCCACTGAGCACCACATCAGAAGTCAGGTGAAATGGGATTGTGCAGCTGTCTCATCCTGCACAGAGGTTAGAAGCCATAAGCATAGAATCTAGAGTCCCAATAGATCAGAAAGCGCAGTGAACATTGGCCCAGTGGAAGGTGAGCCTGGCAGGACCATCATGTTAGGGTGTTAAGTTATTCTGTGACCTTAGTGCCCAGAAGCTGCAATAGCATAGGATTTTGGTGGATTCAGAGGCCTTTGTAATGACTGGATCTGTCAAGACTCAGGACTTCTGGTGTGGTGCTATAGGATCAGCACCGGACTTCAAACCACAGATGGGTAGTTCAAAACCCTACCAGCTGCTTCTTAGAAGCTCTATACTGGGTCACTACGAGTCAGAACTGACTCAATGGCACTTAACCACAACAACAATCTACAATTAGGACAAGCTGTTGGTGGAGGAGGGTGGTCCCAATCTTGGCAGGGGCTGTCCTCCTGGATGGCAGTGGAGGAGGGTCCAAGCCCTGAGATTCCAGCTCTGCCTCCTGCTAACTGTGTCACCTTTCAGAAGGGACTCACCCTCTCTGAGCTTCATTTTCACCCTCTGTGAAATGGATTGATGAATGCTTCCCTGGAAGCGTTGTCATTGAGATTAAATGAGACTGGGGAGTTGACTGTTACAGGTAAATAAAGTACAGAGTGTGTTACAACGTGGCCCTCCAGTAGTCAGGAGAACTTTGGGGACATTTGCCTAGTGCTCAGAACAGCACTGTGCAGGGCCCAGAGCCCAGCTAGCAGCCCAGCTAGCAGGGCAGCTCCTGGACAGCACGTAGCCTAGCTGCTCAAACCAGAAATGTATGGCCCTGTAGATGGAATTTCAGAACTCAGGAGGAAGAAGAATGAAATGTCAAAACCAGCTAGGACCCACCTTTGTCCTGCAGGGGGGCACTCAGGGGTCAGGTCTCCACCACAGTTCCCCAGCAGCTTGTCCTGATGAAGCGAGAGTCAAGCCCTACTCCATTCCTAGCCACTGAAGACTTTGTGCATCTTTGTGCTTCAACCGTCTTTGGGAACCATAGACTTTCACTGGAATATTTTTAACCTTGCATCTTGGGACTGGTGTTTCTGGGAGGTACAAACAGTAATGTACTTGGCTTCTAACCGAAAGGATGGTGATTCAAATCTACCCAGAGATGCCTCGGAAGAAAAACTTGGCAATCTACTTCCAAAATATAAATCATTGAAAACCCTCAGGGAGCACAGTTATCTACACTAACATACTTGAAGGTGACTGAACAGCAATTGGTGGTCCAGCTCAGAAGGCCTGGAAACTTCTAATAGAACCACTCCCAGGATTGCATAATCACATTGTGCCTTATGGGGTAATTCTTTCCTATATATTTCTAAGACCAAACAGAAATGGAGTGCTGGTAGGTCTGTAAGATAGCACCAGATTGCTAACCACAAGGTTGGCAGTTCAAACCCACCAACCACTCCTCAGGAGAAAGGTGAAGCTTTCTGTTCCCAGCCTGTAACCTGGAGCATGTAACAGAAAGATTTACAGCCTGGGAACCCCGTTTGAGTTGGAACTGGCTTGACAGCACTCAACAACAATAACAAAGGAAGTAGTGGAAGCTGAGTGAGTTGGCTTCTTCTCTTCCCCTGCCAGGATGACCAGAAGTCCTGCCCTCTGACTGTAGTCTCTTAGGGCATGATGGCTGTTCAGAGTCTTCTTCTCAGGACAGGAGAGTGCATTCAGCTCCCAGCTGTTCCAGACCAGCTGCCAGGGCTCCGCCTCCACAGAGGCTCTCCTCCACCCTCTGCCACATCCCTGCCATTCCTCCTGGGAAAGACAAGGGACAAGAAGCATGACCAACTGACCCTGTGGGTGACAAACAGGAGTCTGGTTGTGGAGTTAGGCAGCCAGGCAGCTGAAGCTGTGGCGCCTCGGACAAACCACTGAGTTCCCTTAAGCCTCAGTTTCCTTATCTGCAAAAAGGGGATAACAGAGCTCCCTTCCTCAGAGGGCTGTGGTTTAAATGAAATGAAGTCACATGGAACACCCAGAACCTCTGTCACTGGGA